ACAAAGCTACCAGACTGCAAGGACAGGAAGGACAGAGCACCCAAGGTGAGCAAAGCTGTAGGAAAAATAGGTACAAACACATATTGCACACGTTCTAGAAAACAGCCTAATGAGATGTAATAAGAGTAATAAAGTCATTTCTACCATGTGGCCTAATAATTCTACTTCAGAAGCATACTCAAAGGAAAAATATTTTTTAAGTGTTCATAAGTGTTCTAGAATGATAGTGGTTGAACAACTTTGTGAATCTATTAAAAACTATTAAACTGTATACTTTAAAGGAGTAAATTTTATGATATGTGAATTATATCTTAATTTTTTAAAAGCTTGCAAAGTACTATTTAAAATGGCAAAAAGTGAGAACAGCCAAAATGCCTCATAATAGGGCAATTCATTTTCTGTGAAACAAAATCGAGCAGAAATACAGAGGTTATACTTTATACAGACTGTCGATATGTGCAAGTTTAAATACATATTCAGCTATATATATGAGACGAAGAGAGATGGTATTAGGTGAAGAACAGACATGAAAGAGTATTACAGACCAGTAGGGTCCGTACATCACCCAGTATACGTCACAGAGAAGTCACGGGGAGCCCCAGAGAACTCGGCTGCTTCCTCTCCTTGCCAGCTTGGAAGAACAGCATTTCTATTTGTAAAGTATTTCCATGTATGTTATTTTACCTAATCCTTAAAACAACCCTGAGAGAGAGGTAATGGGGGGAGGGGTGGTTACCATCATTACACAGAGACATGCTGAGGAGGGCACCCCCTCCCCGTCGCCTCCACACTGTGGGAGATCCGGATTTTCCTGGGAAAACACAGATTTCAGAACACCACCACTGAAAGCTAGCTGTGATCCCAACCGATACCTTCAGGGAGAACTAAAAATAAAAAGCAGGGAGGGCCAAGGAGAGAGCAGGTCTGCGGGCGGGCTGGCCAGCGTGCTCTCTGGTCAGGAGGCCTGGCGGCTGCCCCAACTCACCTTGCAGATAGCTCTGCAGGAGGGGAGCACAGCAGGCTGGACAGCAAGACAGCTGGTGCACACCTGGGAGGACCCCGGCTGCCTTGGTCTCTGGGAGAGAGGCAGGAGCTGGCCACTCTGACCCTCAGAGGTCAGCATGCACCATGCCCCTTCCCCAGTGTCCAAACAGGGACCCTCCCAGGCAGGGAGAGCTACACCATCCTCAGGGAGTCTCCCTTTCTTCCTACCAAAAAAAAAAAAAAAAAAAAAAACCTTCCAGCCAGAGGGGAAAGTAGGGCAGCAAAGAGACGCAGAGACGCTACGAGCACATCCTGGCAGGAAGGCCAAGTGCCAAGGGCCTAGACAGACACTGCAGCCACAGGCGCAGTGGTCAGAAACCATGATTCTGAGGTGCTGCAGACCTTGGATCACATTCCTGCTGCACCCCTAGAAGAGAGGACAGTCCAGCCTGGACGGCTGCCCCTCAGGCCACTCATGATGCAGCCCTCTTTTCCGTGGGGCCCCTCAGGGGCCGTGATGACAGTCAGGCAGGGTCATCCTCACACGGTGGCTCAGTGGCCCAGCCCCGGTCACCCCTGGTCCAACCCACAGTACTGCAGCTTCAGGAGACCCCTGGCCCCAGGGGTTTCTGAGGCTCTGAGAGGGGTGCCCCAGATGAAACTGAGAGGAGCAGGGGCCCTGGGACTGGGGAGGAAGGCTCTTCTTTTCCTCCGCCACTCCTGCTCTCTCCCTCCTGCTATGCAGTGGCCGTGGTGACACTGCAGCAGATGTCTCTGGGCCCCAGGCTGCGGCAGGGAAGGAGAGCGGTTCACACAGCCCATGGCCACAGAGGGGGACAGGCAGCTCTGATGTTTGGGAAGTGAGGGGAGACATCCCAACCACTCTGCTGCTCAGAAGCTCCCTCCTGGGGCCTGCAGCAGCTTGGGATCCAGCACTCAGCCAGAACTGGGCTGCTCCAGAGCTTCTCTGTGCAGGAGTCAGAGGGGCTGCACATATGAAGCGGGCCCTGGCCAGGTGGGGGATACAGCCACTGCCCTTTGCCCTTCTGAAGCTTCACAGTCAGACTGCTGGGCTCTAAAGTCTACCTCAGAAACTTCCAGGCCATGCTCCATCTCACCGTGGCTACCCTCCTGAGAAGCATACTGAACCACAGCAAGGCATTGTGACCTCCAGTAGGAGGGCAGTCCTTCCTCCTGCCCACCTCCCATCCCCAACCCCAGGAGGAGGCACAGCCCAGGCCCCAATGAGCTGGTCACAGGGCTCACTGGCCACGGAGTGGCTGCAGGGTCCCCAGCTCCTGTCCCTTCTCTCCAGCCTAGACTCAAGAATCCATAAGGGGCCCCCTGAGGGACAGTGAGGATCAGTGTTTGGGCCTCCAGAGCTACACCAGGCCACTTTCTCAGCATGCAGAGAATGCTTGTCCTTCTGGGTCCCCAAGGCCCAGGAGACAGGGATAACTCACTGTTGCCAGAGGTCCTCCTTGCTACAGGGATGAGCACAGTAGCAGGAACTCAGCCCCTGTAACCCTGGTCTGGGCCCAGGTATGCAACTGGCAGGCAAATAGGCCGACCAAGGAGATCCAACCTCCAGGACAGCTTCAGTCCCCCTGGCCATCTCTGACAGGGACAGGTGGCTGAACTAGCCCACTGACCACACACTTACTGGTTATAAGTCCCCTAGGGGCTAGTGGGTCCCCTGTTGCCTGCCTGCCTGCTCTGTGTCTCCGGGCTGAAGCCACAGGGCCCAGAGGAGTGAAAAAGCTGTATGCTCTGGAGCATGGCAGCAATGAGACTTTCCTCTCAAAAATCACACTCTGCAGGCAGCTGGGCCCATGCTTTGGTTCCACACAGCAACCTCCAAAGCAGAGCCACTGTGCCTTCCTTTCTTGACCTCGGCTGTCTACTGCTATCCAAACCTGAGACTCCCCCGCCTCAGGCCAGGCCTTGGCAAATAGATCTGCCCAGGCCTCTGCCCACCTTTCTATCTTGCCTTCTCCCTTCCTTTCTCCAATATCCAAAGGTACCTTTGCTGGGGTAAACAGACCTTTAGTTTGCCTAGCCCCTGGCTCCCAAGGGATCCCACAAAAAGAAACCCTACAGATGACATCAGAAACCAAAAGGGAAATGGGGTGGGAGGCCTGGAAGGAACACAGGACAACAGTGTCAAGTGGTTAACTCCAGATGCCAGCTCTTCCCCAGCCCAGGGTGGGCACAGCAAGGACTTGCTAAAAATGGGGGAGGAGTCCCGGTGTCCCAGCCCTGCTGGTGGCTGAGCCAAATCCAGGCAGAGACTGGTGCTAGCCTACAGAAGGGGTGACAGCAGCACCTTCCCATCCTCTACCCACCACACACTCGGCGCCAGATCTGAGGTGCATCTCTCTGCAGATGAAGCAGGAGCAAGGCCTAGCACTCACCCCCACAGGGACACAGCACAAGGAGCAAACCCATAGCCTGAGCCCCTGCTGAGGACAGGAGGGAAAGATGGAGGAGGTGGGGGAGGTTCCTGAGACCCACGAAGGCTCAGTGAAGTGTGGAGAGGGCTTCTGCTCTGGTATGGGCTCCTGGCTGGAGAAACCCAGCTCCTCTCTAGGCCAGCCATGCCCTCAGAGGCCTGGCTCGCGGGGCCCCTCACACTGCCTGCCTGCATCATTCATTTTGGAGTCTGTACAGATATAGCCTCTCCCCCAGTGACCTGCGAGGTATCAGGGGCTGAGGCTGTGCCTCACACACTCTGCACAGCCTTGAGCTCCCCTCACACCCTCTGCATGGCCTTCAGCCCCGGATACACATTTGAAGAGGAAGGGAGGGAGGGAGGGTAGACAGAATAGCCAAGGGAAGGAGAAAGAAGAGGAGGAAAAGGCAAATGGAAGGAGACAAGACCTCCTGGACCCCCACCAGGCCCGAAGAGTCTGTGGCCCCCAATCTGCCCAGGGGCACACTGCAGGATGGGCACAGTGGCCCTGGGCACTCCAGAGCAGGCTGCACAGAGCAGCCAGCGGGATAAACAGGATGCCATGGTGCAGAGCCTGGGTCCCAGAGCCAGACTGCACCCCAAGAACCCAGTCCTGCCACTTCCTGCTCAGTGACCTTGGCCACACCACCAAACTAGGTCTGTAGGTAGAGGCTAATAATAGGACCCACCTCATTTGGCCATTGTGTTTTTTTTTTTTTGGGCGGGGGGTGGCTGACACAAGAAGAATTAGCTTGTACTGTCTCGGGTAAGAATGGATGTTTGAACGTAACCACTGATGCTCCAAACAGCTGGAGAAATCCCAGAATGCCAGAGATCTGAGAAGCCTCGGGAGGTGCTATCCCCTGCACGCCACCTCACAAATGATAGGAGTGACGTGCTGAGGTCACCCAGCAAAGACAGGCCCAACACTCCCAGGTCCACACTGCTCATTCACTTGGTATTTATTCAGCACTTCTGACATGTGTGCCAGGAGCCAGAATGGAGGGGCCTGGTGCCTACAGCCCCGAGAGTGGCACACTGGACCCGGAAAAGACCCAGAAAAGACTGGAGGGTAGACAAGGGAGGCAGGTAGCTGACAGTGTGATGGGAGTGGACCCTATGGAGAACGGCCCCCGAGCAAAACCCCCTGAGAAAGTGGCAGCCAAGCTGGCAATGAACAACCAGCAGGGACAGGCAGTAAGGAGCAGGTGAGAAGAAGCATCTAGGCAGACCGGGCCACCTATATAGTACAAGGTCTGAGGAGCCCCTGTGCAGCTCTGAGGGTCTCCACCACATCCATGTAAAACTCAGGTTGGCTTCCAGGTCTGTGTCCCCTAAGGGCAGCAAGGACCATGTGGGCTTTGCCTGTGGGCACCCTGAGGGTTAGCATGGTCCAGAACTGGGCATGCAGCAGCCCTGGAGGGAGACACATGCCAGCAAAATCCTCCCCAAGAAGCACCAACCAAGGCAGGCAGAGGCTGGGCAGATCCTCCTGCCCTGCAGGGCCCTATGCCTCACCAGGCCCAGAGCAGGCGGAGGTTGTAGCACAGGACCACTCACGCACCTTCTGCATCCACTGTCTCCTTCATGATGATCTCCACCCGCTCCACATGGTGCCGGTTCCAGAGGCCATCTAGAGCCTTGCGGTTCTGGTCTCGGAAAGGCAGGATCTGAGCCACGGCCTGCCAGGGAAGGAGACGGTTATGCTGCTGATTCTCAGGATGAAATAATCCTGACTCCAGGGGAGGGCCCTGACGTCTCTACTCCTGGCTCAGTGAAGATGCTCTCAGGAGCCACAGTCCCTGGGCTTTAGGACTTCACAGCTCTATACAGTCTCCAAAAACTAAGTGACCTCCACAGGATTACCAGCTTTTTATTTTGCAAGGAGAAAAATATTTAAGATTACTTATCTTCTATTATCATCAACTTTTATTATTTTTAAGATTTTATTTATTTATTTGAGAGCGAGAGAGAGAGAGAAAGCATGAGAGAAAGATCACAAGCAGGGGGAGGGGCAGAGGGCAAAGCAGACTCCCCACTGAGCAGGGAGCCTGATGTGGACTGGATCCCAGGACTCCAGGATCATGACCTGAGCCAAAGGCAGACACCTAACTGACTAAGCCACCCAGGCGCCCACTATTACCATCAGCTTTTAATAAAAAAAAGATATTTTAACACCAAAAATGGAGCAAAAAAACCTTTAGATTGTATACATTTAGGAAGTGCTCTTTTTTCATTTTCCCAGAAACAAGTGAAAACCTCACCAGGTCAGACACTGGCCCAAGAATCACTCTTTGGGAATGTTGCAGCTCTAAATAAGACTGGCTAGAAAGCAATGCCTCTGTCCTGGAAGACTATGAGGTGCCCACACACGTGGCCCTGGGCTCCCCAGCCTGGTCACTACCAGAGAATACTTCACTATGTGCTCTCTGCTGGGGTTTCTAGGAAGGGATGTTCTGGAGGTGCTTGAAGGGCATGCTCAGAGTGAAGTGGCCAGCCGGCCTGCATCGCCTAGGAGCTCAGCCTCATGCTCTGCCACAGAACCTGACTGGGAAGCATGGATGTAGGGTCTGTCCTCACTGTAGGACCTTGTTACCAGCCTTCTGGCTCAAAACAGAACTCAGGAAAACAGAGATACTGAAAAAAGGCAGATTGAGTGTGGAATAAGTTAATTCTAATTCCCACACCACGACCCCCTGGAAGTCAGGCCCACATCTGCATACAGGATGCAGGGCAATGAGAAACAAACCACTGGAAACATGGACAAAGGCCACGCAGTCCTGCCCTTGCTGAACTGCTTTTCCTGCAGCCTCTCACTGCCTGCCCACCTTCAGGACAGCCATGGGAGCTCGGATTTCGCAATGGCTTCAGGCCTAATCCCACAAATCGCAGTGTGGCTCTGTCAATGGGGTCTACCTATCTACCCGGCTCACTCTAACTCTGGCAAGCTCCCAGGTGAAGCTCACCTGCTTGCCCAGGTAGTGGTCCACCCGATACATCTCCTCCTCTTGGAAAAAGCTCCCGAGCTCTGTGGCCAGCTGCTGGGCAGAGACGTAGTCATGGCCAAAGGGTTTCTCCAGGACAACCCGCAGCCAGGCGCCCGGGCCTGGGCGGCAGCTGCTGTTGATGCTACGAGCAATATCCGCATAGGCGAAGGGTGGCACTGAAAAGTAGAAAATCCTGCCAGCCTCCTGAAGGCCTTCATGTTGGAGCTGTGCCTCAATGTCCTTGCTCAGGGCCATGTAGTCCTCATTTGTTTTCAGGTGGCGGTACTGGCTCAGCCGCTGGAACTGGCCCTTGAGTTCGGCACAGCGCCCAGGCTCCATGTCCTCAGGGCAGGAGAGGGACTCCAGGACCTTGGCGATTAACTCTTGGCCCTGCTTGGTGGAGGTCAGAGCAGCCCCATGGAAGCTGAAACTGTAGCCCTTCCCCACTTCATCCAGGTACAGCTGGAATAGTCCCTGCCATAAGTATTTTTTGGCCAGGTCCCCAGTTGCTCCCAGCAGGATTATGGAGACATGGCCCTGGAGCTCCTGAGCCTGCAGGCAAGCCAGAAAGGCCATGCACACTGCCACTGTGAGCATCTTCCAACAGCCAGGGGGCCTAGGCAGAGGTAGGACAGACAAGGAACAGGAAGGATCAGACATGGTTCAGGTGGCTGGGATGTGGAGGTAAACACATTTCTAGGCTATCAAACATTTCCTGTCTGGCAAAACACCACCACATGTTTTCTCAGAAAAAAATTTTATAATCCCACAGCTTGCCCCTCCCTCCTCAGCAGCTTGGCTTCTATGCCAGGAGCAGGTGGGTAGGGAGCCTAGCCTGTAAACAGGGACTACACCCAGAAAGGTGGTAGGCCACTTGCTGGAGATGGGCCAATGTGCTGCAGGAGGCACCAGGGAAGCCCGCAGGGGCTGCCACAGAATTGGAGCTGTCCACTCTCTAACCAAGGCCAGTCTTGTTCATGAGCACAGGTCACCAGGACCATCGGGGCAGCTCAGGAATGGAAACAGGCCCTCAGGTGCTGGCTGGAACTGTGAGAAGATATGATCATCCCCTCTCATCCTCCTTTTGTTTTTTCCATGGCCGCTGGGCTCCAAGCACAAAATGATTCCTAGGAACTGCCACAGTGTAGGGATTCAAAACATAGACACTGGGGACCCCTGGGGGGGGGCTCAGTCAGTTATGCTTAAGCATCCGACTCTTAGTCTCAGCTCAGGTCTTGATCTCAGAACCTGAGTTCAGGCCCTGAGTTGGGCTCCACACTGGGCAATGGAGACTACTTTAAATTAATTAATTAAAATAAAATAAAAATATAGTCTCTGGAACCGAGTTTGAATCCCAGCTCAACTCTTTACTGTTTGACCATGGACAATTATTTAACCTCCCCATACCTCAGTTTCCTCATCTGAAGTGGGGGGGGGGTAATAGTGACCTACGTGTAGAATAATCATAAGAACAAAATGAGTTAATATTTAGAAAATGTTCAGGACGCTGCCTACCACTTATGAAGCACTGCCTAAGTGATATTACTATGATATGTTAATAATAGTCGCAACACTGAACTAAGTGCTCATGTGCGGAAGATCTTCTGGGATCCAGAGAGAAGTCCTGAAAACAGACCAGTGGAGTGGATACTATTCCCCTTCTGCAGTGAGAGAAGCCGAGGCTCAGGTGGTGAAGGGGGCTAGGTGAGGAAGGGGGGGGCTGGACAGGCACTAGGTTCTCTAGGTTCTCTGGCCCTTGAGCACACACACAGTAAAGGCACACCACAGCCTCCTCTCACATTTTAGCTGGTTTCCAGCCTAATTTAAAGCAGCTGACACATCTGAAAGGCCAGAGGCCTCGGACCTGCCTCAACCGCACCAAAGGATTTGCTTTCACCTGCGTCTGTCCTGATCAAGGCTGTGGGGGCTTACTATGTTGCGTTCTTATTCTGGCTCTTCTGTTCAGTCTCCCACCAAGGCCAGTGCTCTGAGGGCAAGGGAGGAGTGGTGACGGAGAAAGTAATCATGGTCAGAAACACGGCTCTCAGAAACGCAAGCGACAATGGGGCCCGGCCTGGGGCACTGAAGCAGTGAAGAGAGATTCACTAAACCCTCAGCTAGGACACTCTAGTGTATTGGTCAGGCAGAGAAACTGAGGTTTCAAGAGATACCTGGCCAGCTCACCCTCCTGCATCCCTATACCATCCTCCATCCTGAGGACAGCCAGCAACCCCTGCCCCAACTTTTCCCTCTGCCTCTTCATCTCTCTCTGTCAGTGGCCAAACCAAGGTGAGGGTCCAACTGCAGTATCTGCATACCAGACATTTCCACTGCTGAAGCTTCAACCAGGGGATCAAGGGACCAGCTGAGTGGCCTCCCAGGCTTCTCCTTCCCCTCCCCCTTAACCTGAACACTCACTTCCAAATCAGATGGCCCACTGGACCATTCTATACTTTCTTCTGCTTCCCAATCCCTTTCCTTGGCCCTTTATGCATTTTCTCTCTCAACTGGCCATCATCTCTGTCTGGAGGGAAGAAAAAGCTGCAAGGTCAGTGCGGGAAAGAGGCAGTGAGAAATCTGAAGCCCAGAGAACAGCCTGGAGGAGGAGAAGCCTCCAGCTGGCAGGCTGCATTTCAGAGCTCCTGATCCTATATGGGTAGCAAGGGCTCTGGATGTGCCGGGAACAAGAGGAGGAGCTCAGGAACCTGAGAGAGCCTGGTACCAGGCAGGTGAGGGAGCTCCAAGGGCCAGCACCCCTACCCCAACTCCGTAAGACTGCAGAACTGTCATGTCACCAAGCCAGAGGCCCCAGCCACTGTGCTAATCAGATTCCTCAGTCAAGTGGAGGAACGTGGCATTTGGGTCAGAGGACCAGGGCTCAAGACCACCTCCCCCTGGTGTGTGATCTAATTAAGTCACCTATTCAATTTGGGCCTATATTTCCTATCAAACAGGGCTAGTTCCACCAAACTAAATGGGGGGTCAGAAAGATCAGCTGAGGTGACACACGTGACAAACCCTATGCAGATGTGAACTATGTTAGCTAAATGGAAGGCCCCTCCTAGCTCCTAAGGGTGGCATAATGCTGCTGCTGTCAGGAAAAACTGAACGCCCCTTGTCTCAGGGGCTACAGAAGGCAGCACCGAAGAACCAAAACAGGCATTCCCATAACATTCCCCAGACTAGCCCTGATGCCCTGCTCTGAGCAGGGCGACAATGACAGATATGGCTGTCCTCCCTGCTGCCCCAACAGGGACATAAACAGGCTCGGAGAAGCCCACCAGAGTCAAGAACAGGGTCCCAGGTCGGGAGTGGCGGTGAGGGAAACCAGATGGGCCCAACACGTCCACCGGTGGTCTAAACTGCTCCCGTGCTATGAGGCTCTACTTCTGAAGGGTTTTCTTTCTTTTTTAAAAAAAGATTTATTTGACAGAGAGAACGAGAGAGCACAAGCAAGGGGAGCAGCAGAGGGAGAGGGAGACACAGGCTCCCCATTGAGCAGGTAGCCTGATGCGGGGCTTGATCCCAGGACCCCAGGGATCACAACCTGAGCCGACCTGAGCCGAAGGCAGACACTCAACCAACTGAGCCACCCACGTGCCCCTTGATGGGTTTTCTGAAGCACTTCCTCCTGCCTCCTTGCTTGCCCTAAGAGGAATGAACCTAAATACGCCTCCTAAAGTTACACACTTGAAGTGAGCCCAGAAGCATGGATGCGGCATTCCAACAGCTGGTACTGCCATGAATGGTTTCTATTTTTAATGAATAAGTAAATAAGAAAGCCGTTGGTGAAAAGTTCAAAGAACCCCAGCACAGCAAGGATAGTGGATCAGGCAGTGGGTTGGACTGTGTGGTGGCTCTGCTCTGGCTCCTGGGGGAAACCACATCACCGTGCACATATCTTGGGCCCTGCGTAGGCCTCCGTGCCTCATCTATGGTGTGAATAGACTTAGCTGAAGCACCACTACTTCACTGCCTCCAGATCCTCTGTTTTCCATGGAAAGGAAGTAGCCCCTCTCCTATCAGGGAGATGCCAGAGCTCCGCCTTCCTGCAGGGCAGTTAAGTGCTCAGTGCCTTAGAGCCGGGCAGCAGGGCCAGGGAAAGAGGGCTAAAACAGGAAGCAAGGGGCTGATGGCTACGTGTCATTCGAAAGTTAAGACAAAACTCTCTGAAGCTTTAACTTAAATGTGTGAAGGATGCGATTTCATTTACAACAATTATTATTCGAGAAACCTGCCAGAAACACAAAAGCAGAGCTATGGGGGCCTCTTCCAGGGAGGTGCAGAAGACCTTCTCCAGACAGGCGCATCTCAGCCTCAGGCCTGACGAGGCACATGTACACAGTCCAGGGCACCTTTCATGGCACCCCCACCCAGTCGGAGGGGTTCCCATCAGACTTCCTGGCGGACTCACCTTTTAAAATGTAGCTAACATTCCCAAAGCTTCAAACGCTGACCCGGCCCAACCAGAAGGATTGGATCAGAGTCAGGGTACCAGGCTTTGTTTCTGCCCAAGCAAGACTGGCAGGAATGGTGGCAGGGAGGGGCCTGCAGCCATGCCTGAGCCACCTCTGCATGGACCCAGCATGTGCTGGCACTCCAGTGCAGGGTGGTTTCTGGTAAACCACAGGAAGCAGCAGCTCCAGTTCCCTATTCCCAGCAGACGAGGGGCAGGAGTAAAGTTCAGTGGCTGCCGCAGCCTGTTCCTTTCCCAATGCCACACTGACACCTCTGACCTCTACCTTCTGTTTGCCAAGCAGGAAGGAGGGAGGTTTTCTTCAAATCACAGCCCATGAGTTTGGAATTTTTGAAAGAACATGTGGGAGTAAAACAAGAGTTCAAACTGAAGATCATTTTTAACCGAAGTGGGAGGGGACGTGCCCAGTTCTCTCTACAATCACCAACACCAGCATTTTTCCTGCACTCTCCTTGTTCGGGCCCATCAGCACCCAACACACCCCTGCAGGTCAAATCCTTCAGCCGCTGTGAGACCTGTACTCCTTCCCTACTTGTTCCCCTTGGCTAGACTGGGGACAAGACTTACAAGATCAGGCTCTGGGGCCCTTTCCCTGCCCTGATCTCAGAGAATTTTTATACCCATCACCTCTTTAGGTGTCTTGGTTCCCTGTGATCACAGTGGTGTGCTGGAGCCACCTTGTACTGGCACACAAGATTTCAACTGCTGCATTTTCAGGAATTTTTCAAGCCAAGTGTTAAACACAGCCATTATTAAAAACCAAATCGCACAATTTTATAGCTAAATAAATTATATTAAAAACAAAGATAATAAATACTTATTGCAGCTCATCCCTTCCTAATTATTTTACTACGTTTTATTCCTAACCCGTGCTCTTTACATTTTTTATATCTACTGTATCTGTAAGGTGAAGATACTCTCTACTGCGGTGCTTGCAACAGCCAATTAGGAATATTGCACCACAGATATTGGCAAATGCTGTAAATCGGGCTCTCCATCACCAACCCCCACCCCTGCTGAGTCGTTATACATTTACCAGCATGCCACACCAGGCCTTCATCTCTGGTCTGGGCTTTCTCCCCCTCAACTCTAGGCTGATACAATCAGCTACTCCTCTGACACCATTAGCTGGATGCCTACAAGACTTACTGTGTTCAAAATCGAACGGATTTCTCCCCAGAAGTCCCCAATCTGGTCCAAATGCAGATTCCCCCAGCCTCAGTAAATGGCAACTCCATCCTTACAGATGCTGAGACCAGAAATATTGGAGGTCATCCAATCTGTTAGCAAATCCTATAGTTTCTTTCTTTCTTTTTTTAATCCTATAGTTTCTATCAGCAAAATTTATCCAGAACACAGCTACTAACCCACCACCACTCCACTCTAGTCCCAGCCACCATTACCTGTGGTCTAGATTACTGTAGGAACTGCTTAAATGGCCTCCCATTTCTGTCTTCCCCACTCATTACCTCCTTGCCTCTTTTGCTACTGTGCCTCCCTCTCAGCTCCAGCCACCCATCCTCCTGCCTCAGGGCCTTTGTACTTGCTGTTCGCTCTGCCTGACCTACTTTTCCCTGCAGATGTCCACATGGTTCACTCCCTCACTAACTTGAATTCTTTGCTAAAATGTCACCTTCTCTGTAAGGCTTTCTCAGCCGACTCTAAAATTGCAAACCTCCCACCTCCATCTCACTCCCTGCTTTTCTCTCCGCGGTACGTATCAGTCTCCAATACATTGTCCTTGGAAAGTATATTTGTTTTGTTTGGTCCTTGCCGCCCCTCCCCTCAAGAATGTAAGTATCTAAAACCGGGCCCAGCACACAGAAGGTACATTCTAAATATGTGCTGAATGAACAAATAAATCCCATCTGCAGAACACCACTGTCACCTGTGTAGGAGCTATCTGCATCTGAATGATGGCACAAAGGAAGAAATGTCTACTGCTGACCTCAAGCACAGTGACACAGCACACCTTAACACCAGCTTCCTAACCGTAACGACGCGATTAATAATAAAAAGAAACATTTACAGAGTATTTAACTATATGCCAAATACTAGAGCTTCACATTCAACAATGGATTTAAATTCTTGCCACAGCCTATGAGAAAGGCACATTATCCCCATTTTTAAAACAAGAACACAGGAAACCAAGGTGCACAGAAGGAAAACCACTGAAGGGCAGACAGTTCAGAGGTGATCAGATGTGAATACGGGCAGTCTGGCTTTGGCACTTACCTCCCACCTGCCAGGAAAACACGGAATCACAACCCCAAGTGGTAAAATTTAAAACACTGTATTGGCGTGGACACCGATCCTGCCCCTCTGAGAGACTGGAGCAAACTGTCTACTTCTCTCATGTGTTGAAACCATGGAGTAGGAAAACAAGTTGATAAGAAGCACAAGATGAGGCAATCCATATAAAACACGTGGCAGGACACTTGGCATACAGTAAGCACCCAAGAAATGTAGCTTCTATCATTAAACCAAAGGTATCTTGGGTAAAGTTAGTTTTCTTGCTAGCTTCTTGGAATCGCTACAAAATTAATTAACAAGTGCGGAACAGAAAAAATCCCAAGGAACAGCTCATCAACAGCTTCATGACCCTCCAGTCATACTGATGAAAAATCAAAGAAATATCAGGCTAAAAAGGTTAAAAGTCCCCACTCCAGTCCTTGAAGGATTTATAATCTGGCCCAAAGAAGAGGGGCCAGCATAAACCCCTTCCTCTGCAGCCACAGGCCTGTCACCTACCTACCCAACTGTAAAATGGGGACCCATCGGCCTCATTTCAACTTTGGGCTAAAAAAAAAAAAAAAAAAAAAAAATCCAGTTCGTGGCTGCAAAAATACTTTAGGGGGCAATGGTTTTAAGAGCTCTCCCAGACGGAGAGCCACCTGGCTCCCAACTCAGGGCAGCAAAAAGCAAAACCAGACTTCCTGCTCTGCCCCTGGGTGAGGGTCTGTCAGGAAGGGTGGGCGGGGTGGGGTGGGGGTGGGGAATCTGGCATCCTGCAATGACATCTTACCTTGTTCCTATTCCATCAATAGTGAGAAGTGGCGGGGCCACGGATGGCCAAAGGTGCCTCTTGGTTTCCCTTTTAGATGACCTGAAACCATCTGACTGTAAGAGTAACTTAGTGAACTCCAATCTTTGGATAAAAATAACTTGAATGTTTGCCTAGAGTGGTTATTTATTGGGCAGTCATGGACCTCAAAGAAAAGTTACACAAAGTACTGTCTGAAAAATAAGCTCCGTTCATGCCAAATAGGGAGCATTTTTATCTCAGGTGCTCCTAAAAACTTACCAAAAGATTAGCCTCATAAGCTCAAAGTCTGTCCGCCATCCATCACTGCAGAGAATGCAGAGAATAGTTTGAAATATGCCCACTCTACACCAGTCTCCCCGAATTCGCTCCCTTTCATGAACGGGGGCGGGGGGGCGGGGGGGACGGTTGGGAGGACAGGGGAGGTTGAGTGGGCAAAGAATTCCGGCTTATGATCTTTCCAGAAGTTCTCACTTCCGACTGCATTCAAGTGAGCTGGTTTTCAGAGATGCAGATAGGTTCACTCCTGGAAAACTATTCACTGTTGGGAGTATTGCAAACGCTGATTGAAACCTGAGGGCTCCTGCCAAAAGTTATAATGACCCCAGGGGGAAAACAAACAAACAAACAAAGCAACTGGAGGAGGAAGGGAGCGGTCTGTGTGCAGGGCGCGGGGCCCGGCGGGCGCTCGGCGGGCTGGGCTGCAGGCCCCGCGGGAGCGCGGCACACGCGGCGGCGCCGCCCAGAAGGCCCGAGAGCTCCGGGCCGCGGGGCCGCCACCCGCCCCGCCCGCGGCCGAAGGAGCCGGAGACCCGGCGGGGGAGGCAGCTTACTTCATCGGGCCCGTCGGAGCCGGCCGCTTCTCCGGGCAAGATCGGCGGCGGCGCGGGGCGCGCGACACTGCGGGCCGGGCTCGGGCCAGGCCGCGGCCCCGCGCATCCTCTTCCGCAGGCGCCGCCCGCCCCGACAGGTGCGTGTCACGCGGCCCCGCGTCGGACGCGCGCTCGGGTTTCGCCGAGAGGAACCGGGGGCGACCGGCGCGGAGGGCGCGGAGGGCGCGGAGGGCGCGGAGGGCGCGGAGGGCGCGGAGGGCGCGAGGCCGAGTCCGCCCGGCCGCCCCTTCCGTGCCCCACACGAGCCGTGGCAGGACCGGCAGCACGGGGAGGTCCCCCAACCCCGACCCCCCGCGCGCGGGCCCGGGACCCAAACCACAGCGGCCTCGGCTCGCGCGCGCGCGCGCAGTGGGGCCGACTCAGGGGCGCGCGCGCGCAGTCGGGTCCGCGGCGAGGGGCGCGCGGCGGAGGCGCAGGCGAAGCCACGCCCCCTAGTTCGGGGTCGCCCCGGGGGGGGGAGGCGGGGCCTCCGGAATGATTTCTTGGTTAGCGTGGATGGGGCGGGACTTCAGAGCGAAGTGGGCGGGCAAGCGGCGCGGCTGCCCTTCTGGTCGCCAGCGCAGGGTTCTGCTGTGCATCTGAGGCGCTGCCCTCTGAGACCCACGAATGGCCGGGGAAGTGGTTGTGTCGTGGAGGAAGCCTGGAGGGCGGGTGGCTGGGTCGTCCCCAGGATCTGGCATGAGCTGTGGGACCTGGAACAGGTTACCTGACCTCCTCAGGCCTTGCCCATACAAGGCCTTGCCCATCTGTACAAAGAGCAGCTTGGTTCATCCCACTTGCGACGCCCCGCAGTGGTGATTTAGGTGATTTAGGGGTCCGAGAGCTCACTATGGCCCCGGCTCTGCTTTTAGCTTCAAATCTCTGCTAATACCCACGTGACCTTGGAGACCCAAACCTGTACAGTAGGGGCAGTAAGAGGATGTGCTTCAGCGGTGACACGGCCTGTGACAAGCACTCAGTAAATGGGAGCTTGCACCTGTGTGCCATTATTAGCAAGACACAGTAAATGGGGCTAAGCCCTCCCTGTAGGGTAGTGGCAGGGTGTGTACATGGGATGACATGGTCATTGCTGCTGCTTTCAGCACCCAGGGGATGGTACACTAGTCCTCTACCCTTGTCCTTACCAAGGTCATGCAGCATCTGACCCTCACCCTGCCGCGACCTTGTGCCTGCTTTTCTCCCAGCCCTACAGGGCTGTGGGTGCTCCTAGTGGCACCCCAGCCATGAGAGAGGCAGCTGCTGCTTCCTGAGTGAAGATCCTGAGTGACCTCAGGTCATTACGGCAAGACCACCCAGGACCACCTCCTGGATATGAATCCCACATCCCTTCTCCTGGAGCATCTTAGCTCTGTCCCTTCTCCAGATCCACCTTCCTCCCAGCGCAGGGACAGGAGAACACATGGTCTCCTCTGCTGAGGTGTGCAGACCACCCAGGAAATGGATTCTGACTGGAGAGGAAAAGCTGGTAGCAGCCTTTTATTTCACAAAGGTTCCATTAGAGGTAGTGCATTGAGAACTAGTAGAGGGAACGTGGCAGTGGCCAGCAAAACGGAGTGGAGCCAACAGGCAAGATTACCACACAGGATATTGGGCAAGAAGGTTCCAGGAAGACTGGGAAGCCAAAGTGGGTGGTGCCCCACTGTCAGCACGGCCAGGGGGCCACCTGGGGGCTTGCAGTGAGCTGCCAGGCCTCAGGAAGAATTAAGGCCATACAGGGTGGGAGCTGGGGAGAGGGTCAAGAAGCCAGGTATACACTGGCTGGAAGTGGGCAGGAGAGTCTGGGGCATGGGGAGCCAAACCAGTCTGGGTGATACCAGGACTCTTGGCCAAGAGCCCTTCCCATGTTCTGTAACCCTGGGTGCACCATGCCTCACACAACTGTGTAAACTGGGGCTGAGGGAGGTACAGATGAGAGAAGACAGGTGCCCAAGGACTAAGACGAGCCCAGGGGATATTTCCTAGGTCCCTAATACAGCCATCGCAAAGGTGATCTGTGGGTACCTTGAGGACATAGTCAAATCAATCATAAGCAGCTTTTTTTTTTTTAAAGAATTATTGATTTATCTTAGGGAGAGAGAGAGTGCACATGCACATGCAAGCAGACAGAGGGGCAGAAGGAGAGGGAGAGAGAATCCTCAAGCAGATTCCCAGCTGAGCTCAGACTCCCACTTCCTACCAAGGGGCTTGATCCAACCATTCTGAGATCACAACCAGAGCCAAAATCAAGAGTTGGCCGCTTAACTGACTCAGCCATCCAGGCACCTCAATTGTAAGCAGTTTATTAAGAAAATGCATGTGTCCACTTAGGTGTCGGTGGGGTGGGGTCTGAGGAGTGACTTGAAATGAGCCTAGGATCTCACAACTGTTTTCCCTGCTGGTCCTTCCACTCCCATGCATCACTGAGATGTTTTTATTTCTCTACCCTCCTCCCTTACTTTTTTTTTTTTATTATTTATTTACGATAGTCATACAGAGAGAGAGAGAGGCAGAGACACAGGCAGAGGGAGAAGCAGGCTCCATGCACCGGGAGCCCGACGTGGGATTCGATCCCGGGACTCCAGGATCGCGCCCTGGGCCAAAGGCAGGCGCCTAACCGCTGTGCCACCCAGGGATCCCTCCTCCCTTACTTTTAAAGTCCATATCTCAGGCTCATCCTGACTCTGTACCTTCTAGTCTGATATGAACCAGTACTTTGCTTTCTTTCCATCATGAAAACAATTTGGTCTCGGGGCACCTGGGTGGCTTACTTGGTTAAGCATCTGCCTTCAACTCAGATCATGATCCCGGGGTCCTGGGATGGAGCCCCACATCAGGCTCCCTGCTCAGTGGAGAGCCTGCTTCTCTCTCTCCCTCTGCTGCTCCCCCTTGCTTGTGCGCGCGCGCTCTCTCTCTCTTTCTCTCTCTCTCTGTCAAATAAATAAATAAAATCTTTTTAAAGAGAAAAAAGAAAACAATTTTCTTTTCAGGGGTAAGAGTATTGCCCCACCAAACCCACAAATCTAAGACCTTGCTTGGGCGTGTTACTGGCTTCTACACATTTGCCTACCTGAAGTTTTTCTCATTTCTGTGTTACCAACAGCTACAAGACAATCCAGACTACATCACAGAGGACAAGGTGTGCCCCAAGCCCTCTGAAGGAAGCCAGAAGAAAGGAACAATAACCTGTGAGGCATCCTGCGACCCAGACTGCGTCGGTGGCTTTCCACCTGTCAAGGAGCACCCTATGGTTCTCTTTATGAAACTGATTTTTTTTCATCTTCCTAAACTGTGGGGTAGGCAGAAGTCAGGGTTAAGCCAGCCTGCTTCACAGACATGGAAAGTGAGACCCAGAAAGATGAATGACTCACAAGAGATGTCTGTGGAGTTAGAAATAAAATCACGTTGCAGTTTCTATTTTCAGAACCACTCACTAAGTCAGCTCTGCTTGTTCACTCTGCTTTTTGCACCAGGTGGGGAGGGGGAGAACAGGTGTTGTGGATTTTCAGCCACAAGTAGATCTTTTCGTCCCCAGACATGAGAAAGCTCAGCACTTCCCCCCCCCCTAAAGATTAGCTTCATAAAGTCTACATGAAGCAGCTCTGTATTATTTTTCTATTGCTGCCATGACTACTTGCCACCATTTAGTGACTCAAACAATGCAAACGTATTATCTTACAGCCCTATGGATCGGGAATCCAGCATGGGTCTCAGTGGGCTCAAGCCCCAAGGCTGCAGGGCTGTGTTCCTTTCTACAGCAGCCTTTTTCTTGCTCATTTGGATGCTGCCAGAAGTCAGTTCCTTGTGGCTTGGGACTGAGAGTCCTATTCCCTAGCTGGCTGTCAGCTGAGAGCCATTCCCAGCTTCTGGAAGCTACCATATTCCCTGGCTTATGGTCCCCTTCATCAGTCTTCAAAGCCACACAGAAGGTTGAGTGCTTTAATATCTCCTCTTTTTTTGGGTTCATCTCTGACCCTTCTGAGAAAGGGCTTCTGCTGTTTGTTTGTTTTTTAAGATTTATTTATTTATTTTTGAGAGAAAGGGAGAGTGTGTGTGAGCAGGGGGAGGGGCAGAGGGAGAGAAGCAGACTCCCTACTGGGCATGGAGCCTGACATGGGGCTTGAATCTGTGACCCTGAAGAGTCAGATGCTTAACCAAATGAACCACCCAGGCGCCCCAGTTTTTAAAAGCTTCTGCTTTTAAGAACTCACGTGATTAGACTGGGCCCACTCAAATAATCCAGGATGATCTCTCCCGTCTTCAGAGGCCATATCCTTAGTCACATCTGCAAAGCCTGTTTTGCCACGTAAAGTGACATTTTCACAGGTTCCAGACATTAGAGCCTGGACATCTTCAAGGGATCATATTCTGTGTGCTACAAATTATAACTTTCCAGAGTCTCAAGCCCTCCTGATAGTCCAGGATCTTGAGGACTTTCTACTAATAGCTTTACTAAAATATAACTCACCCATTTAAAGTGTAAAGTTTATTGGTCTTTAGTGTGTTCACTGAGTGGTGCAGCATCACCAATATCCATTTAGAACACTTTTATCACCCCAACAAGAAACTGTATGTATTAGCACATACTCCCTGTGTCTCCCCAACTGTCTGAACCCTAGGCAGCCTCTAGTCTACTTTCTGTCTCTGTGATTTGCCAATTCTGGACATTTCATATACATGGAATCATAGAATATGTGATCTTTTGTGTCTATATACATTAGATACACATACATATAATGTGTACTTACATAATGTTTTCTTTTTCTTTTCTTTTTTTACATAATGTTTTCAAGGGTCATCCATGTTGTAGTGTGTATCAATGTTTCATTCCTTTTATTGCTAAATCATATTTAATTGTATGGATAGGCAGCATTTTGTTTATCCATTCATCGGTTCCTGGGCATCTGTGTTATGGGTTATTTCCACTTTGGGGGTATTATAAATAATGCTGCTATGAACATATGCATACATGTTTTTCTGTGGAAGGTTCTTATTTCTCTTAGGTATATACCCAGGAGTGGCATTGGCCAATCTTATGGTAACTCGCCCATTAACTTTTTGAGGAACCACCAGGCTGTTTGCCACAGTGGCTGGGCCAATCTACATTCCCACCAACAGTGTATGAACTTTCCTATTTCTATTTCTCCGCATTCTGGCCAATACTTGTTATTATCTGACTTTTTGATTCCAACCATCCTCATAGGTGTGAATTGGGATCTAATTGTGGTTTTGATTTACATTTTCTTTTTTTTTTAAGATTTTATTTATTTATTCATGAGAGACAGAGAGAGAGAGAGAGAGAGAGAGAGAGAGAGAGAGAGAGAGGAAGAGACAAGGCAGAGGGAGAAGCAGGCTCCATGCAGGAAGCCCTATGCAGGACTCGATTCTGGGACCCCGGGATCATGCCCTGAACCAAAATC